AAGCAAAAATAAAAAATTCTCTTCAGGAAAATCTTAGCTTCTAAACAAACATTTAAAATAATACTCCTACCATTAAAGTGTTTGATATAACATATATTCAGGTCCCTTTGCATGAATACTTTTCTTAATATATTAGGGCTGTGAGGTCCTTTCACATTCCCGCACCTGTGGAGTGGTGCTTTTTAATAAGTGATTTTTTTAAAAAAGAGCTTCTCCATTATCTTATATCTTAAGATACAATAAGCCTAAGATAAGCAAATTAATAGTGTTCTTTCCCCTTATATTTCATATTATAGTTCATAAACTATTATAAGCATCAGAGGCTTGATTTTCTTAAAAATCTGAAAGAACCAATGTCTTAATTCTCCCATCTGATAATATCTTGGGGCTAAATTTTGCTATGATAGGAATGCCTCACTGAAATAGAATATTATTCATCTTCAGCTTATATTAAGACACATGTTAATAATCATTTGGAACTTGGTATTGTTTAAAGGAGAGGAAGGTAGTAACAGGTTATTGTGAGGAGGTAACTGGCTCTTAAAAGTCTTGATTACCTTCAAATAAAGGCAATAATAGCTTTAACACTCCTACCCACTTCTCTCTACCCCCACACCTCAAGCTTTTTATATTTATATCAGTGCTAAGACAATGAATGCCTGTACTTCTGAGAGAATTTTAAGACCTGAGAGGATAGGGCAAAATGGAATTTTGTGATTTTATTAAATTGTTACTGTATATTCATTTCATATATTTTAAAAAAGTTCATAGACATGTACAATGTAAGTTGAATTTATAGCAATAGGAAAAAAACACTAACTTCCATATAGAATTTGGCATTAAAAGAGAACAGCTATGTGAACAATTTGTGTAGGTAATTATTAGCTGGAAGCTATTGGTACTGTAAGTTTATTAAATATACACATATGATAATGAGACTGTGCACAAAGAGAACCTTTTGATAATAAATCCATGTAAAAGATTGTGCCTTCGGGGGTAATTCTAGATGTTATAAGTATATTTGAATTCCTTGCACACCTAATGTAGAGCTGTAGACCAGTATGTAACAATTTTTCATTCATGATGTTGAATAGGCAATTTTACCTCAAATCTCAGAAAGGATAAGTAAAGCCAACAATGGAAAATGATGTTGTATTTGTACACACCTTAGAAACATTGTAGTCACACAGAAACAAGCAAAATAGGGCCGTGAAATCTGTCACAGAAGTGAGTTACACTACACTCAAAATCATAGTTGTCAGAAAAAAATACCTAAGCATTACCTTAGAGGTCTTTCTGTCATTGAATATTTTTTCACTTTTGTGTCATCTACTCACGTGTTTACTAAAGTAAAATGTGGAAGGGCTGCCTTCTCTTCATGGACTCTAGACTTTATTGTCAAGGAGTTTATTCTTGAAGGGCTCACATAGACAGATTTTCTGAATTTTTACTTGCCTGATCCTTAACCACCCATCCTTCTTTTTCCTGACCAGGTATTTATGTCTCTCGTCCATAAGCCACTTTCTGGTTGCTGTCCATTCTTGAAGGGACCAGCGATGTGGAGAGTCAGGAGCAGGTGTAGTGAAGAGGTTCAGAGTTCTAGAGTGGGTCTTGTTAGAGTACACTCTCACCAGGCTTATGCCATTTGCCCTAAAGTATAAACTTTCAAGTCCCTAACTCTATGTTGTGATTTAGTAGCCATGGCTTTCCTTCCATTCTACCAAACCACTCACCAGTAACCTATAAATTTCTCTCCCCATCCTGTTTTCCCTGCCCCCTGTTAACTCTGCTATCCAGTAATTTTTTTCACTAAGTGCAAGATTTTATTTTGCCAGTATATGTATTTTGGTTTTGGTTATTTACGTCCCACAGATGAATGAAATCACCTGATCTTTCACTTTTTGACTTATTTTACTAAACATAATCATCTTGAGATTCATCTGCTTTTGTCCCAAGACGCTTCCATTTTAATTGAGTGTCTGCTACACAGTTTGTTTATGCATTTGTCTGTAGATGGGAATATAATTTAGTTCCATGACTTGGTGATTGTGGAAAGTGCTACTGTGAACATAACATACACCTTTTCAGATTAGAGTTTTTTTATTTGGGGGTAACCACCTAGCAGAAGAATCACTAGATCAAATGGGATTTCCATTTTATTAAGAAATCCCCATCCCGGAGCACAGGTGAATTGGCGGTGGAAATTCTATGGGGACTACACCTGAGAAAAGAAAGCAAACATTGTACAAAAATGAACAATGATGTAAAATATATACAGATAAATTATTAAAAAAAGAAATATCCATCCCGTTTTCCATGGAAGCTGTGCCAACTTGTATTCCCACCAACAGTGGATAAGAATTTCTTTTTCATCACATCCGTTACAGTATTTGTTGTTTCTGTTATTTTTGATATGGGCCATTCTCACAGGGATGAGTTGATATATCATTGTGATTTTGATTTGCATTTCCCTTATAATAGTGATAGCAAATGTTCATATCTTTAGGCCATGTGAATGTCTTCTTTAGAAAAATGTCTTTTTAGATATTTTTCCCATTCTTCGATTGAGTTGTTTGGTGTTTGTTGTTGTCAGATTGTTGAAGTATTTTGTTTGCTGTGGAAATCAGCCCCTTGTCATGTGTGATGTGCAAATATTTTCTCACATTCAGTAGGTTGCCTTTTTGGTTTTGTAATAGCTTCTTTTGAGGTATAAAAGCTTTTTAGTTTGATGGAGTTCCTCTTGTTTATTTGTGCTTTTATTTCCCTTACCATTGGAGTTGTGGCCCCAAATACATCTTTATGGTAGATGTCCAGTAGCATGTTCCATATATTTTCTTTCAAGTATTTTATGTTTTCAGTTCTGAAAGCCAGATCTTTAATCCACTTTTAATTGTTTTTTGTATGGAATTAATTATGAGTCTGGTTTCATTCTATCCCATGGTTTGCATTTCTGTTTTTGTTTCAGCACCATACTGTTGGTTGTGTAGTATAGTTTGAAGTCAAAAGTGTGATAGCTCCATTTTCCTACTTTTCTCTCAGGATTCCTTTAGCTATTCAAGGGCATTGTGATTCTATACAAATTTTATAATTGTTCAGTTTCCCGGAAAAAAAAGTAATGGGGATTAGGTAGCTATTGCATTGAATCTTTAAAATATGAATCTTTAAATATAATAATAATAATAATAGTTTCATATCTTCTTTTCCAATTTGTATTCCCTTTATGTCTTTTTCTTGCCTACTTGCTCAGCTGTGACTTCCAACACTTTATTGAATGATAGTGGCTAGTATTTCCAATTGTATGTCAAACAGTAATGACAGTGAACATCGTATCTTGTTCCTGATCTTAGTAAAAATGCTTTTAGCCTTTTGCCATTGAATATGACATTGGCTGAGTGTTTGTCATGTATGGCTTTATAATGTTAGCTAAGTTCCATTTATTCTCATTATATATTAGGTCTCCCAAATCTATATTGAATCTTGTCAAACAATTTTTGAATATCCATTGAAACGGTTGTGTGATTTTTATCTCCCTTTTTTTTGACGTGGTGAATGATGTTGGTTGAGTAGCGTGTGTTGAACCAGGCTTGCATCCCTGGGACAAAGCCTACTTGTTTGTGGTGGATGTTTCTCTTAAGATATTGCTGTATGCAATTCACTAAGATTTTGTTGAGGATATTTGCATCTGTCTTTATCAAGGATATTGATCTATAGTTTTTCATTTTTGTGCTTGTTTCATTTAGGGATCAGGGTAATGTTAGCATCACAGAATGTGTTAGCAGTTTTACACCGTCTTTGATTTGTTTTTGAAGATTTTGAATAAGATAGGTATTAGGTCCTTTTTTAGAGTTTGATGGAATCCACTGAAGAAACCATCTGGAACTGGGCATATATTCTTAGGGAGACTTTTTATTACTCTTTCAATTTCTGCACATGTGATTGTACTGTTTGAGCTGTGTGTTTCTTCCTAGTTCAGTCTTGGAAAGTTGTATGAATCTAAAGATTTGTCCATTTCTTGTAGGTTGTCTAGTTTGTTTTCATAAAGACAATTATAATAAGTTCTTCTATTTCTGTAAGTACTTTGTATTTCCACATCATTTGTTGTAGTTTCTTCTCTCTCGTTTCTGATTCTATTTATTTGGTTTTTTTTCCCTTACTTTTTTTAGTATGCCTAGCTAAATAAATATGTAAACAAACAAACAAGCTAAAGGATTGTCAATTTTATTAATTTTCTCAAAGAAACAGCTCTTGGTTGCACTGATCTTTTGGACTGTCTTTTGTTTTCTATATTTTTCTCCTCTGATTTTTATTATTTTTTTCCTTCTACTGATTTTTGTTATTTTTTTTTTCCTTTTTCTAATTACTTTAGCTGTAAAGTTAGAGTGTTTGAGATTTTTCTTTTTTCTTTTTTAAAATTTGGGTCTCTATTATTACGAACTTCCATCATACTTTTAGAGTATCCTATAGGATCTGGTAGCTTGTCTCTCTATATTCATTAATTTCCAAATACTTTTTGATTTCTTTATTAACCAGGAGTTTTTTAAAAACATTTTGTTTTTTCTCTACATATTTTGATTTATTCAGGGATTTTTTTGTTGTTAATTTCTAGTTTTATAGCATTGTGATATGAGAAGATGCTTGATATAATTTCAATTTTCATATATTTTCTGAGACATGTTTCGTGGCCCAGAATATGTTCTATTCTCGAGAATGTTCCATGTGCATTTGTGAAGAAAGTGTTTTAGTAACTTCAGATCTACTGGTGCATTCTTTATCTTTTCTCTTTGCTATTTAAATCCATTGACTTTAATTTTTATATTTTTAATTTTGTAATAACATCATTTTTTCAAATCTACTTGATCAGTTTTGAGTGCCTCTTTCTCTTTGTTATGCTTTATATCCCCTTTCATATCTTTAAACACATTCAACATAATTATTTTGTGTTCTATGCATGACAACTCAAATATGAGCCTTTGAAAATATGGGTCCTGGTTTTGTTACAGGGCAGGGAGAGGGGCAGCCCAAACCCTGCAAACCTGCCTATTCTAAATGGATTCTGCCATCCGCCGCATCAACACAAAACATATGAGACCTTAATGGGAAGGAACTTTAATACAACTAGGAAACAATACAGGAAAGGCAAAGAATCTAGTTTCTAAATCAAGCACCCAAAGTTACCTGTCCCCTCGAGGGTAAAAGTCCACCCAAGCAGGATTGGCCCAGAGCAAGGCTCCAAAGCCTGCCACAAGTCTTAAGCATCTTCTAGTGGGGACCCACAGAAGAAGGTCAGAAACAACCAGACAAGCCTGGAAGGAAAAGAGCAAAATCAAAATCAAGATTAAAGCTGCCATTGTCACCTCCCCACGGGTCTCTCACCCACATCTGTGTCACCCAGTCCACGACCAAAAGGTAAGCACAGTTTCTTCACATGTCTCTCCATTTCATGTGCCTCCTCCAAGTCTCTTCCTGTCTCTCCATCCTGCTTCCTTCCTTCTCAGTCTCCTCTACAGCTTCTACTTCTCTCTCTGCTCAGCTCCACCCTCCATTTGGGTGAGGCAGGGAACCTGGAACCTCCCCCTTTCCTGGGGACCACCCTGTTACAGTTTGTTGTGTGTAACTTCTTACTATCAATGGGTTCTTTCTTCATTTTTTCATTTATTCAATAAATAAATATTTTCTGAGTATCTACAATGTGCCAGGCATTACAGTTCTGAGATCCTGGAGGAAGAAAAAACAAAAAAGCAAGTAAAATTAAATAAATATGTAAACAAACTATAGACAAAAATTCCAGGTATACATAAATATCCAAATTCCCATATTTCTTTGAACTAGTATTAAACTTTTTTTTATATATTACAATTACCTTCCTGCTAGAGCTTACTGATTTGCATGGTTTTGAAATATTGTCTATATTCTGATGACTTAAAGACTAGCAACAAACATATAGATGGATGTAGGTTTTCAGCTGAGATGTCTCCTTTGAGGTTATATTAGATTTCTATTTCTCTGTAATAATTACTGCACAACTTAGCTTTATAAGAGCATGTATATATTATTACAGTTTTCTGGATCAAGAGCTCAGCAATAACTTAAATGAGTCCTCTGTGCAGGGTGTCACAAGGCTGCAATCAAAATGTTTGCTTGTCTGTTCATCTGTTTTTCACAAAATTCATAAAATTTTAAACCCCAAGTTATACAGACCTTCTGTAGAGTCTTAGTTGTATCTTCTGCCCACTCCTCCTGATTGGTATATTGTGCCAGTACTAAATAATCTGGGTAGTCTCAACTCTTTCAGGACACTCCCCTTCCAGTCTCTTGCTGCTTATTTAGATGTTTTATTTCCTTACTCATGCAGTCATTCTTCTGTGCTTATGGCTGAGACTCTTGACTTCATGACACCATATATTTTTATTTGGAGGCGTTTCTTAAATAGTCATTGCCAGAGAGATGCATACAATTCTTCTTGCTGCAAATGCATTTTGAGTGAGAATGGTTGGGTGGGGCAGTACCATTTCCTCACTAAAGAGTGAAAGGGGAAACCTTTATGGGTAATCTTTGCATCTGGTAAGAAGTGTCTTAGGAGCATTGTTATGACAAACTCCCTCCTTTTAGAAAAGAAAAGAGAAAAAAAAATCCAGAAAGTCGTCTGTTCCTTCTTCTATGCAAAACCCACAAGGTCAAAGCTGGTTTCCTGCCAGTGACAGGGCTGCTTGTAATGTGGAATGTACTTAAAATGTGAATGTCAGTAGCCAAAAGCTATTAAAGCAAGCCAGTTCTGGAGCATTCAGGAAATGTTTAAAAATATATGGTAACCTGATTTGAACCCCAAGATTTTCTTCTAAGCTCATTGAGCTTATAAGCAGAATTCAGTTCCCCACAGATATAGGATTAAGAGCCTCAATTCTTAGCTTGTGCTTCTCTCCACAGGAAATTCACACCATGACTGCTTCTTTCACAGCAAGCAGAAGAGCATCTCTAACTTCAGGAAAGTCCAGGGTCTTCTTTTAAAGGGGTTGCCTGATTAAGTCAGGCCCACCCAATATAATTTCCATCTTATTTATGCTATCTTCATCGTGTACAACATGATAATTCAAAGTGTATGCACAGTTGTATGATTATTACCACAATCAAGTTTATTAACATACCTATCACCCTTATATCACCACATATCACCTTTTGTGTGTGTGTGATGAGAGTGCTTAAGATCCATTCTGTTAGTAAATTCCCAGTACACAATTTACTGTTACTAATTATAGTTACTATAATGTACATTAGAGTCCTAAAACTTGTTCCTCTTATAACCAAGAGTTATATCCTTTGACTAGCAGCGTTACATTTTCTCAGCCGCTTAGCCCCTAGTAACCCCATTCTACTTTCTGTGTCTGCAATTGAACTTTTTTCTTTAGATTTCATATAAGAGTGAATTCATACTGTATTTGTCTTTCTGTATGGCTCATATCACTTAGCATAATATCCTCCAGGTTCATCTATGTTGTTGAAAATGGGAGGATTTTCCTTTCTCATATATCAAATAATCTCTCATAATTAACTCAGAGATAACACTTCAGGGATATTAATTCTTTAAAATTTCTGCAAATTTTTTTCTGTGGTAATCATTAGAAGCAACAAGAATATTGGAAGTACAATACTCAAGGGATTATGCAGAGAATAGCCTGCTGGGGTAGATCTTAGAACACTGCCACAGAGATCTTGACTTGCATTTTTAACTCCCAACCTGATGCCTCTATGTGGTTTTCTCATAAATATCTAAAATTCACCATGATCAAAACTGAGTTCTTTATTTTCTTCCTCAAAGATTTCCCCAATGAGTGTCATTTCAAAAATTAATTTCCAGCTCTTTTATTTCCTTCCATCTCTACTGCCAGGACTCTGATTCAGGTTGTTATCATTATCCATATTTGTAGACTCCAGCAGTGTCTTTCCTGGTTAAGTTCTTCATTTCTCAGTCATTCCTGAAAAAACTGATCTTAGGAAAAGCAATAATCATTTCTCTCCTCTGATTGTAACCATTTAGTGGTTACCTAATTGGTTACCTAATGCCCTTTAGAATTACCCTTGTGGACCTGACAGCACCTTGCTTATTTTAACAACATCATTTTAGGCCACTGCTATTTATTAAGCTCTAGCCATACGGTCTTATTTCAGCTCCTAGAATATGCTTCATTCATTTCTCTTTGAGAGCATTTCTACATGGGATTCACTTTGTGGGGAGCTCTTTCCCTACACTTCCACAACTTTCCATGAGTAGATCCTTTCTATCCCTCAGCTCTCAGCGTAAATGTCACCCTTCAAAGATGCCTTCTCTGACCAACATGTCTTAGGAGGTCTGCTGATCACCACACTCAATATTTTCTACTTTGCCCCTTGAGTTTAGCACCTGTTACACTTTGTAATCATATATTTGGTTTGTTTTAACTTCCTTTCTTGCTTTTCCACACCAGCTTACCTAAATAGTACATGTTAAATAATATGTTCTCGGACCTCCCCGGTGGTGCAGCGGTTAATCTGTTACAGGGCAGGGAGAGGGGTAGCCCAAACCCCACAAACCTGCCTATTTTATATAGGGTTCTGCCATCCGCCACATTAACACAAAACATGAGACTTTAATGGGAAGGAACTTTAATACAATTAGGAAACAATACAGGAAAGGCAAAGAATCTAGTTTCTAAATCAAGCACCCAAAGTTACCCGTACCCTCGTGGGTAAAACTCCATCCAAATGGGATTGGCCCAGACCAAGGCCCCAAGGCCTGCCACAAGTCTAAAGCATCTTCCAGTGGGGACCCACAAAAAAGGGTCAGAAACAACAAGACAAGCCCAGAAGGAAAAGACCAAAATCAAAATCAAGATAAGAGCTGCCATTGTCACCTCCCACGGGTCTCACCCACATCTGTGTCACCCAGTCCATGACCAAAAGGCAAGCACAGGTTCTTCACATGTCTCTCCATTCCATGTGCCTCCTCCAGGTCTCCTCCTGGATCTCCATCCTGCTTCCTTCCTTCCTCAGTCTCCTCTTCAGCTTCTTCTCTCCCTGCTCAGCTCCACCCTCCCTTGGGTGGGGCAGGGAACCTGGAACCTCCCCCTTTCCTGGGGACCGCCCTGTTACAGAACACTGAGCTGCAAAGCTGCTGCAGCCTCTGTAGCGCTGGTTCGATCTCTGGCCACCTGCAAGTGTCCCACATGGCGCACAGACCTCTCCTGCCACGCTCGCTGCTCCCCTCAGCAGTGTATTTCGTCAATCTGCCTGTTCTGCTCCCTGATCTGACTCTGGTGAATTATCTCACCCTCCCATGCTTCTGACTGTACCCAGTGCTTGTATAAATAAATAAATAATAAATCTTTAAAAAAATAAATTGTTCTCAAAATGTATTTTATGAATCAATAAAGTGCATTATATTCAGAAAGGAATAAGGTTCCATAGCAGGTGGAGTAAAGCACAAAAACAAATAGATGGATGTAGAAATGAGCGCTCGGGTGTCAGCAGTCCATAGAGGAGGCATTATGTTGGCGGAACAGCCAAGACAGGTTGCAGAAGTCTAGCGAATAGAAGAGTTTTCCTCTTTTGATTATAAACTTGATGGCTTTTTACACAAAACAGAAACATTTAATAAGCAATATATAAGAAAGAACTGATGAAGAAGCTTTATTTATATTATACTGAAGAAGTATTCTGGAGATAAGCCATCTGTCCATCAGTCCTTACATTCACTTACTCAACAAGTGTTTATATTCCATCCATTAAGTGTAAGGCACAGAGTGTACCATGTCCACTGCCATGTCATGTACTCAAAGATGAGTCCCAAAAAGCAGGTGCCAGTTTGAGGTTGATGGAGAGTCTGAGAAAGGAGAGAAATTGTCCATGTGTCGAAGAACAGAGAGTTCTTAGGAATTTAAATAGTTTAGCATTGAGCCTGGAGCTTGAAACTAAAGAGGTGATCAAAGGCTACGTCAGAAAGGATCTTGCTTGTCATTATAAGAAATTTGGGCCAGTTAAGACATAGAATGGTGGAATATATAAATAGAAATGTCCGGAAGGCATTTAGAAATATGAGACCAGAATACATGAGCTGTTGGGACTAAAACATGGGTTAAATTGTTTTCATCTTTCAAGAAAATAGAACAAATAGAAAAAAGAGAAATGGGTGAGATTTTTAACAATTAAACTAAACAAGCAAATATCTACTCAGGAGCCAGGGATGTGACACCTTCAAAATGGTTAACAGCCTATATGATACAAAGAAATCAGGAACTTAGAGGGCATATTTTGTGATGACAAGAAGGAAATAACAGGTAACCATAAAAAAGGTAGTTCTCTGTGGTCACCTACATGACCAATTGACAGCTAATCAAAATATTTTTATTATGTATATCTATGTTTGTAAGTATCTT